TCTAGTCTAAATCTACCCTCTTTCAGCTTATACCCATTACCCCTTGTCCTCTCCCTACACTCCCTGATACAGAGTGCCTCCCTATCTCTCCTGTAGGCCCCCTTCAGGTACTGGAAGGCTGCTATTAAGTCTCCTCGGAGCCTTCTTTTCTCCAGGCTAAACAATCCCCAACTCTTTCAGCCTGTCCTCATAGGGGAGGTGCTCCAGCCCTCTGATTAATTTTGTGGCTCTCCTCTGGACTCTCTCCAACAGGTCCAGGTCTTTTTTTATGTTGGGGGCCCCACATCTGAACACAGTACTCGAGGTGGGGTCTCACGAGAGCAGAGTAGAGGGGGGGAATCAGATGAATAGAATTGTTTTGAATCATAGCTCATCAGGAGGTAGACTAAAACTGGAAGATTTTGTATTTTAGCATAAAGTGTTGCACTACATATAGAGGTAGGGGATTTCCTTTGTTTTGATGATAGATTTTTACGTATATTTATTGCCATAACATATTTTTTGAATATGTTGCCTTCCCTCTTCTACCCTCCCCCATACAGTGCCTGTCATTGAGTCTTACGAGAAGCCTGCCCTGAAGAAAACAATCAAAGTAGAGCCAGGAAGTGAACCACCGAAGACTGATTTCTATCCTGAACAAATGTCACCTCCAGTGATGACCTCATTGTCTCCCCAGCAAGTAATGTTGCAAGAGTAAGTAGCTAACAGTAGTCCCAAGATCAGCAGAAGAATGAAAAGCTGGTCATTGCAGCAGTTACCAATTTTGAGGAGTGGGAGGGAGTGGAGTGTTGCTGTGCTTTAGAACGTGATAAAATACAGAAAAACATCCTTCCCCCACAGTGCTGCTGTGAAATGATTTCAACTTTTTTTTCCCCTCTCTTTAGCTATACAAGTGTTGATACGTATGTATACATCACAACCACATAGATCTACCATTTATGTAATTAATTTCTAAAGTAATGTTAGTCCCAGTCCTACAATTGACTGAAAGTAGGACTCCCAATAAGCCAGTCATACCTGTTTATGTAAAACCAGCAGCAAACTGGAAGGATACTGTAAAGACATTTCATACTGATCTCTGTATTTATGTTACCTAAAAACACCTTTTTTGAAAAAGATTGTTGTGACTTTATTTTCTTGGAGGACCTCTTTATCTTTTAAAAAATTGTGTCTGCTTGGTGGAAAGAACTGCCTCAGGCCTACAAGTTCTGTATATATCCAGTGAAATTCCATGTTTACCTGAGGCCATTGTTCCATGGGTGGGTTTTTTGGCAGCTCAAGTAGTTCCTGAAGCTCGCTCTCCTCCCAGCAACCTGTTTCCACCCCAGTACCAACTCATTGTGCTGGTACAGCTGTGACTGGGGCCACTGCATGAACTGGATCTCAGATCTAATAGGGTTTAAAACAGTCCTGTTTGCAGAAGGGAGACCAAGGGCTAGAAAGAAGAACTGAGGTCTGGGGCAGAAACTTTTTAATTGGAAATACTAAAAATTTCTCAGGAAGTACCTGAGGAGCCGTGGGCACCCTTCCATTTCCAATTTTCCTACGGAAAATTCTGTCACTCTACCAAAATCATGGCATGTCCCAGAGCCTGACTCATCCTATAGCAGACAGTGCTCTGGGCAGGCATGCAGGCTACTGGCATGTCTCTGGCAGAAGCTGAAGTTGGGAACTGAGCTGGGCTCATGGTACATGACCTCAGAATCCATTTCTGCCCTTTGTTCCTGCTCACTGTGGCCCCTGGAGCAGTTGTATGAAACCTCACCTCCTAGAGTGGGGAAAAAGGGCTACAAGCCAGGCTTCCAACGGCAGTGTGTGAGTGCAGGGTGATTCAGAAAGGGAGAGAAAGCATGGGACAGGTGGTCTTCTGCATTTCCTTCAGAAGGCAGCCTCTTCCTCCTGCTCATGACCACTCCCAGGTGAGAAGGCACACTGTGGCTCCAGGGCTAACTACATTCTGCACAGCCTTCTTGTGGGCACCCCTCTTCATTTTCGAGTCTGTAACCAGCTGAGATTCAGCTTCTAGACTAATTGCTCTTTGCAGTTAACTAGCTGCCAACTAGCTTTTATAGACTGTATGCTGTTTATTTAAAAATAACCTTACATGTTTTATTCTAATAAACATATAAGAAACATATAATAAGATAGTGAACATCCATGTTTACTAGGTGGTTACTTATCCTCCATAATGGACTTGCCACACAAGGGAGTCAGGTCGGTGTGTACTTGGAACTAACTTCTGCTAGGTCAGGAATCTCAAGTGGTTCAGCTTCTCTTCTTTGTTAGGCCTCTTTAAAGAGCAAACCAGTGGGTGCTGTTCCTGGCTGATACCACACCCTTCCTCCAGGGCTGAGACTTCTGCAGACTTGTCACATGCATTAATGATTTGCATTAATTATTTCCCGATGAGTCTGATTTCCACAGGAAACCCATCCGCTGAGCAAAGAATATAAAATTTGGTATAACGTGTAGGTAGTGTTGTTACAAAAAACATTTGAATCCATGTTTCCAAAGCATCTCCTCTGCTTGCCTGACCTCACATTGTAATGGCTTAAATTGCTTCCTCGCTATCCTGTAGTGCTGCAGTTCCTGCTCATTCCTAATGTTCACATTCTGCTGTATCCACAACAGGAAGTTTGTCAATGGTAGTTTTTATCTAAATACATAGACAAATCACACAAGTTATGAGAGACCTAGACCTTCATAAAATTTCCTGTTGTCTCAGAGCTTCATCAGCATATCTCTGCATTATGAGATATAGTTAGGCAATGATTTTTTAATCATTTTTCATAGGTTCCAACTGGACTATTCAGACACATGAGCTACATTAAAGGGGCATAAGACACCTTCAGTCTCACTTTTAAGTGAGTGATTTTGCTTTTGTGTTAGTTTTTGGCATACACATTATA